AATATGAGATATATTCACCTAATTTCGTTTAAAGTGATGAGGGACTGGTAGAAAAATTTTCCTACAATAACATGAGCAGACCTGACGTTTCCATTGAATTTCACATAGCCTTTCTTTCCCAAAAGTTGTTTTCTCATCCAGACAAAAGTAAACTGAAGTTTCGACCTCGCATAGGTCTTATATCATTCTGCACTGCCACGGTTCGACTCCCGCTGGGGGTGTTGATAAGACCTGAGCCAGGTCGAAACTGCAGTCCACTGGTGCCTGGATGAGAACAACTCTTGGGAAATTCAACGGAAACGTCAGCTCTGCTCATATCATTGCGGGAAAATTCTTCTACCAGTCCTCCATCAGTTTAAACGAAATTGGGTGAATAAATCTCATATTACTGATTTACTGGTAGTCTCGAAACAATACTTAAATATTAAAAATTAATAACACACCAATACTCTCCTTTCGTAAATTTCGAAATTCATAGGCTGTGATCGCTCTAGGATATCTTAGGTAAAGTGGCTTCTTTTTTACATGCCTATTCACCCTATGTTTCCAAATAACACAAGTGTGGCTTGGCCTACGAGTGAGATTAATTTTTCAAGTTTCTTACGTATTATTTTATTTAGAGCAAGAACGTTATTCTATTTAGAGAAGTGGAAACGCTCTGTTCAGTGAAGCGGCAGTGTACGTGCTTCTGAGGCGTTGAGAAATAGCGCTTGGAGTGAAATCTACACTGACAACTGGAATTGATTGAAATGGGTCAACCAGAAAGAGAAGGAACAGATATACGAGAAATTGAGGGGATCCGGATTAGAGGCCCGGATCAGATGACCCGATCGCAAGAGACGGGTCGGGATGTATAGCGCGTGTGATAAGGCCACACTAGATTTGCCACAAAAGGGCACACATTTTGACGAGTGGAATGTAAAAAAGTGACAAGTTGTGTTAGGGCGGAAGTGTGATAAAAGAGTAAAGAGTGGATAGATAGGCAAAAAGAGAAAGAGGAATGATAGAGTAACCGTCTTCGGCAGAACGATTGTCGAGGGATTGACTTCACTTGTCTCTTTGACGGGTTCGTAGCTTGGAGCGGAGAATGGCAAAACTCAGTGATGATGCCGACTATGATTCCGGAGAAA